AATAACATTTGGATCTGTTTTTTCAACCAATGTGGTTTTTGCACATGTCAATTCTTTAGCCATTTGTTTCCTTTCTCTACATCCACATTCATCCTCCCACCATTTTAACCATTTACTTTGTTTCTCAATGTTCTCCAAGTCTTTGCCTTTTATCACCCTCTGAGTTTTTATACCCTTCTCTTTTCCCTCTAAGCCTGTTCATAACATGTTCAGTTTTATTCTACTGAAAGAACCATTTGCAGGGAACCCAAAATCTTTTGACCACTCGGGCAAAAACTCTAGAGATTGATCTCCATATTTCCTTCTCATCAGATCCACAATGGGTCCCTCCGGAGAACCCATTTCCTTTTTACCTTTACCGTGTACACCACCCATCTTTCAGGCGTGGTGAAGTATACTTTTTATTACTTAAAATATAGTCGTCACTATAAGTCTTGATTTTCTTTTACGTAGGAAAAATACAAGTTAAAACCCAACCAGAACTATTGGTTAATAAATATAGGTCAAGGGCGCAAATATCTGTTCTCAGATTACTCTCCGAAAATCCCGATATTGTTCCTGTCTTCCTGTTAGGTCAAGGGCTGAGATTTTGCGATTTCAGTGAACTCTCAAAATCCCTCCTATCTTCCCCTTCGGTCAAGGGTCACAATTGTCAATTGCCCCCGTCTTCCCCTTTGGTCAAGGGTCACAATTATGCGTTTTCAGAGTGTTAGTCTGAATACAATCGTAATACGCAAATTGCTCCCTGTCTTCCCCCTTTTTGGTCAAGGGTCACAATTATGCAATTTTCAGATAGTTAGTCTGAATACAATCGTAAATGCGCACATTGCTCCCTGTCTTCCTCAGTAAAAAGTTGGATGCTGATGAACCGGAAATACTGTACAATTACTCTTATAATTTTATACACATTTTTCAAATAACCGGATAAAAGACAAGTTATCATCATTAGAAGCCCAATCAAATAACCGAAATTTGGATTTTCTAAGAAGAGAGAGAAAAAATAATTTAAAAAAAAAAATCCCAAAGTACTAAATACCCGTCTTTGTTATCTGTTATCACCCGTTATAATTCAGGAAGCCCCGTTTGAAAATCAGAATATCAACTTCTTACCCGATTCGTGTGAAAATCTTCCTCATCGGATCGTGTTGAAGCCAATCAGGTCTCTTTTGGTCGCCGGTCCCCTCTCTCTGAGTGTGATGAGGTATAGGGCAGAATCACGTTTGGTGGATCCTGAAGTGGCCCCTTCCCGGACGTCCTCGGAGTCCCGACGGAGCTTCAAACGATCCCACTTCTGACACCAAATTGTGGTGGAAGATTTTGCACAGACAATCGTTAAGTAAGAATCAAAGGCTCTGAGTCAAGTATGTCTTTTCTCCGTTTATTTCCTTGCAAGGGAAAAAGGGTCACAACAGCTACGTGGTCAGTAGACTGTCAAGAACCTCCTTTTTTCCTCCCAACACATCGAGGCAGTTCTTATACCTAAACTTAGATATCGGTGGCGTCAACAGAAACCGTTAACCATCTTGTTGAGTCTCTACAGCCAGGGTACTGGGAACACCTTGCGCATGTGAACCAGACACCAGTTATTTGACCGTGTCCTTGCTCTCCCAACATGCTTAAACAAAGGTGGTCATAGACATAACAAACACTTTGTTCAGTCTCTACAGCTATGCCGCTGGAAACATCTAATCCAAGTGGGAGACATCAGTTCGTATGTCAGGGCCTTTGTGATCTAAGCACTTGCAACTAATAAACTGGTTATACAAATGAAGCATTTAAAAGGGTCACATATCATTTTCCCATTACACATCACTGACAAAACCCTGATATAATGCGTTTAAAGAAGGAAATAAGGAGGAGAACCTCTCATGCCCTTTGCTCTCACTGCATTGATCACATCTGCCACCTCCATGCTGAGCCTCAAGCCAGATCAATTAATTATGCAAATAGACAGGTGATCCTATATTGGGATCGAACCACTCTGTGCCCACAGGGGTTAGAGAGGAAGGCGTCGCCGCGGTGAATCACTTTTGAAAGCACGGCCGGCTGTCTGTGGAGAGGGATGTGGCGGCTTTACTGATGTCAAAGGAAAGGAAACCACATGTGTGTTCTGCGTCAAACGGCACGACTGCTTCTGTTTGGTGAAGAGGTGCACTTCACCACCGCTTTTTCTTTTAGGGGCTATTCCCTTTGTTGCCTGGCAATACATGTGTGTGTGTGTGTGTGTGTGTGTGTGTGTGTGTGTGTGTGTGTGTGTGTGTGTGTGTGTGTGTGTGTGTGTATAAGTGTGTGTGTGTGTGTGTTCATGTGTAGGTTTTTGGTTGCGGTGGGTGGTTTGGTTTTGGAGGAGTTTGCTTGCCAAACGAGGGCTAGGTGTGTGTGTGTGTGTGTGTGTGTGTGTGTGTGAGAGGTGTGGATGACTATGTGGCGTCTGTATCCTCAGATCATCATTTATTTCCCCTATAAAGAGGGTTGGAGATATACACAACAGTTGTGTTTGCACAAGCTGGAGTATAACTGAAAATATGCTAATTGTTGGAATGCATTAAGCATTCCAAGTATTGTTCTTCGACTCTTTATTTCAACTTCTTCTATTTCTTCCGTGGCACCATTTCAACTCCTTCACACTTTCAGCTATTTAAACCGTTCAAATATTAACATATTCAGCTTCTTTCCGGCTTCCGGGCTATGACTTTTCAGCTTTCTAACTCTTAAGCTTGAATTTATATAAATCAATAATCATTAATATTTTAACATGGTTTTCAAATGGAGTTTGTTTTCCAAATCCTCTTAAACTTCTTCAACTTTCAGACTTTTCAGCTCCGCCAATCTTTCAGCTACAGACACCATTTGAACTTTCAAATGTTGACACAGGTCTCAACTATTTTATGAAAAAACTGCTTGTTGATATCTATTGTACTTTTTTCATAATCACTGAATATGTTTCACTAGTTCTTTGCTCCGTTTCTGACTTTTACATGAGTGTGTATTGCGTCTGCTAGAGTGAGACCCGGAGATCTTAGAGTGTGAGGCAGCGTCAGAATCTGGTTTAAAAAAAATGGAACTTCTGTCCTTACAGCCAAAGTATACACTCTAGAGGCTTCATTTCTTCAGATTAATGAGGGCATGGTTGTTCTGATTGGATTACTGTGTTCATAGAATCCCAGAGTTCTTTAGTTTTGGCCTACGGAGACCAACAGTCACACAACCTCTGCCAAAAGCCCCATAGGCTCCAATACAAATCTGCCAACATATTTCTCAAAAAATCCAGAAGGTACACGTTTTGTAAACTTCGACAGGAGCCGTATTTTTTACCGGACAGACATGAATAACACCTCCCTGCGTTCGGTAGAGTCTTGGGTCTCGAACAAACAGCGTATTTTTTAGATAGCTGTTATAGTTTTGCGCTGAATGTCATTTGTTTGAGGTGTGGATTCTGTGTAACTCGCTGTCCTGTCTCTGCCCTTTGCAGCAGCTCGTTAATGAGCACAGGTGCGCCGTTGCCGTGGTTACTCGCTCACAAGCTGCAAGATCTGTCTGTGACTCACAGCTGCTCCTATGACCTGATTAGTGGAGTCACATGACGCAGCTATGCTTTCTGTCAACAGACCAATATGATAAAGACACTCGCCCCCCCTCCCCCCTCCACCCTGACCTCTTCTCACTGTTAATCACTCAGTCAGTCTGTCTGTCTATTTCTCCTCCTCTCTCTCTCCCTTTATCTCTTCCTCACCACCCCTCCCTTCCTCACCCTCTCACCCTCCCTCCCTCTATCTACACCCCCCCACACCACCCAGTCCAATAATTACAAAATAAAAGCCCCGTGGAGGGAATTTTTACTGTAATGTTTGTGATGAGGCCTATTAATTAAAAACTTCTTAGTTTGAATAACAAACATTCTGTCTCCCAACCCCCCCTCACCCAATTCCATCATTACAAAATAAAAGCCTCAATGATTATCTGTACCTTAACCATGAAGCGGTTTCGTTGAAATACGTATTGCTCTTTCAAATACTACTACAACCACTACGAATATTACTAGTACTTCTAGTACTACAACTGATACTTCTACTACTAGTATTTCTACTAGTATTAATACTACAACTAATACTAATGTTATTACAAATACTACTATGGCTAATAGTATCAGTATTCCAGCTGTTTCTACTGCTATTGATACTAAACCGACTTCTACTGCTAGTACTACTAATACCACAATTACAACTATAACTAATACTACTACTAATATTACTACAACCAATTTTAAACCTCTTTTTATTCATCTCAGCTTTTGTTGTTTCTGTACTTTTTAAAATTCATTTAAGCTCCTGCAACTTCTGTTTTGTTTTGCAATATTTCACATTTATTTCAGCTGTTTTCATTTCTGCTTATTCAGCAAATCTATTGAAATTCCTTTCAGCTTCTCCCATTTCTGTATTCAGATCAAAAATAACACTAGACTAATAATACTGCCTTGCGGCGTACCATTTTCTACTGTATACTCATTACTAAAAGCGTCATTAATTCTTACCACTATTTTCCTACCAGAAAGAAAATTCTTTATCCATTGAAGCATTCTACCTTTAACTCCCATCAGATGGAGCTTGATAAGAAGGCCCTTCCTCCACACCATCTCATAGGCCTTCTCAATATAAAAAATATGGCAATAATTGACTCCTTATTTACCTGCGCCTTTCTAAGAGAGTTCACGCAATCCTTTCCGTCTTTTGGTCCGTTTAGGTACCGGTATGTTTCAATGGAGCTTTAGTGTTAATGCCTCATTAGTTAGTTTTCAGCTTTTTAGTTTTTATTGAAGTATCTAGATGATGATAGGAATGCTCTTTAAGTTTTATGTTTGGCGTGGCACTGTACGCGTGGAACGGGGTTCATGTTTATATCTTTGAAAGCATCATTTCTGACAGCCCCTGAACGCAACATCACAGCTCGCTAATTTGTCCTGAAGTCTTCTCTGGTAAGTAGCATTGAGCACCTCTGCTCACGGCTCATTATTCGAATGGTTTAGATTAGGTTTTAGCATTTTAAAACGGCATCATAATGTTTCTTTAACTCATGCCAAACATAAACATACAGAGAAAAGTTGGAAATCCCCCCTGTATGGCATAAGCACGAACCCGTGACTAACACTAGCATAGCAGCTAACACGGACTTCCCCCTTTTCTCTGTAAAAGTCTGTTGTAACGGTTATAAAGGGATGAATCGGCTAATTAGGTCGCTAGCTAGCTAACACATTTGTCAGTTACCATGTCTTTGTCTTAGTGTCAGTCAAGCTTTCGCGTTAGCTTAATCCCGTTAGCATAATGCTAATGCCGTTATGAGGGTACTCAATCCCTGTTAGATTTCTGTACGGTTAGCTAACGTTAGCCAATTTTAATGCATTTTTGAAACGCTGTTAATGCTGGGGTTAGTAATGCCTATTAACAAATTAATTATGACGGCCAAATTACTTTGTATTTTAGCTAAGTTACTAGTTAGTCATTCGTAACTAGTCGTATATTTCGTACAGAATATTCCACACTTCCATTCATGTCAGAATTATAAATGAGCAACCAACCAATTTCAATGCATTTATGAAACCTCTAAAACCAAATCATTGTTTTCATTTACTCAACTAACTTAAATCAAGCTGAGAAATGTTAAAATGCAAATAAATAAACCAACATCAGCATAATTAGCTCTAGTAGCCTGCTAGGCACTAGCTGAGGCTAACCATTGACTTGAGTAAGAACAAGCTCAAGCTCAAGCTTATGTCATAAATACTGTGGGTGCTTGTCTAAGGCATGTCTGTGTTTTTTTTTATCTGTTTTTATTTATTTAATGTATACATATTTATTTTATGTATGACTGAGATTGACTTTAATCTGGGTTGTCATGTTATATCAGCAATATTTAACTGCAGTAATCTACTTCTGTAATTACTTTTTTTAAAACGCTGCAACGTTAAACTTACTACAAGTTTGTCTTATTGTTTCCTCTCCTAGACAACAGAACATCGATCATCTCCTCTGTGGTTGATAAGTATAGTAATATTGTACCTGAAATTGATAACAGGCCACATAACTGTTTAGCATCTGTATGCTTTTTTCAAATGTTGATTTATTTCATTGTTTATCTTATTTGTTGAACAGTTGTTTGGGCTTTAAAATATTAGACAATTGGGAAAACGTCATGCAAAAGTCTCCCAGGATTATGTCCTTGTGTTTTGCCCATAAATTACAGAGATTCAGTTTACTCTCATAGAGAAGCAAAGCAATCAGAAAATATTGCATATTGCAGCCAAAATCAGAGAATTTAACTTCATTCATCAATGAATAGCAACATCTTGAATGCTGTGTACCATAGTGCTATAGATTTGCACATCTTAAATCCTTCAGAAGCAATGACAGCAATCAAAGGTAAACAGTTTAGTCTTGTTAGCAAGACAGTTAGTATTACCACACAGCTCAGTTTCACACTGCAATATACAATTATCTTCCTAGAAAAACATCACTTTGGAATGAGATGGATAATACATGAAGTAATAACTTGAGACATTTATAATGAATAAAATAATGACTTTTGAACGAGACAGTGATTTTAAATAAGGACATACAGAGTCTTGCTTTTTGTTGTTGCTTTTTAAAATGGAACTGAGAATGTCTCTTTTTTTTTCTTCTCTCCATCCCTCACCCTCCTTGGACTCTTCCTGGACTCCTCCTTTCTGTGTTTAACTGCAGACCCTCACTGCTGGTGAATTATTGCTGACTGAGCTGTGAGTTGATTCATTACTGATTCATTATGATTTTGCTATAGCTCAACTGACGTTACATTGGTTTACAGTTTAGACCACCTTCCACCACAATATTTTGTCTCTACAAGAATTACATCTTTGTCTTGCATCCTCAACAATAAATTACCCAATCACGACAACAATGTGTTCTACAGTCAAATAAAATGTGACTCATGGGTTTCAGAGAAGAAATTAAACATAATTTATTTCTCTCTTCCCACTCAGAAGTGGCCTAGTGTTCCCTGTCTACTCCACTTTGGACGTCTTGGTGACTCCTTGGTGATCTGACAGTAAGTTCCATGAGCAGTGACATGAGTCAAAACACATAGTAAAGTTGAAGCGAAACACTGATGCCCAAGACCGACCGTGACTGTGGAAGTGACATGGACTGTAAAAACAATCCTGTGACAGTGTATTGATGTAATACTCGCCTCTTACTGTTTTAATGTCTATATCTGGAGATATTTCACAGGCAGGAAACAAGTATTTAACTCAACTCTTAACATAATAATAAAAGCCTGCTAACATTTTTTTGTCAAAAGCATCCCATCATTTGTTAAAACACATATTTTATTCTGAAATATTTGCAGTATAGTGTAGGAAAATGCAATAACTTTGAAAAAAGTACCGGCCTTTAATTTTAGATTATTTTTTCTATTTATTAAGGAGCTTCTTAACCCGTTAGTTTAATGTTAATACGAATGTATAATATATTATACTGTTTAATTATAGTAATTATAAGAGAACAATTAGAAAGAAGTGCTGGCAGTAGCAACAACACTGTGTGCAAACTACTTATGTGAGAAACACAGGCAGTGTGGTCTGGCCCTGAGGCATCTAATCCAGCCTAATTAATAAACGGATTTAAGAACAACTTTTAAATAATATTACATGGGTTTATGATCTGGTCATTTAAGTAGAAACCTTCAATGATCTTTAAGCTTACAGTAGAGGTTACTCAGTTTGTTGTTCGACCTGCTGTCTAATGCATGTTTTATTGTGTCTTACAGGTGTCCTGCTGGCCAGCATCTCTCCTCTCCTCTATCATAAACGCTCTCTGTCTATCCTATACCTTCTATCCACTCTGTCTCAATATTGGAACCATCAAATCCACCGCTCTGTCTTTGATATCCACAAATCTTTGTATCCCCCTTCTATCCACTCTGTCTCATTATTGAAACCTCTATCTATCCTATCAAATCTACCGCTCTGTCTACAATATACAATTCAGGTTACTAATACCTGATCTAACCACATAACGTTGGTTACCCTTTATTACAACAACCTCACAAGTACCTGATCTATCTTTTGATGAACAAACTCTGCTGAACCACATAACGTTGGTTACACTTCGTTACAACAACCTCAGGTTACAAGTACCTGTTCTACTAGATCTACTATCAGATTATCCTCTTTTAATCTCCTATCTACACGCAATAGAATACGATTACTATCTACAAATTGTACAGATAGTACGATTGTGTATTATACACATAGCACGGTTTCTTTAATTGAATATCACTAGATATATTATCAAAATTATTGTTTACTTTATTTAAAATCTTTTTTATATACACATACATTGTTTAAGTGTCCAAGTGTTTTGTTGTTAAACTTTTCATACTGAAATAAAATACAAGCATCTGTCAGAATTGGATTTATTTGACGTTTTCTGTCTGCAGACCCAACGTTCTTTTGGAGCATTCATCTGCCATCACACTCACACCACTGTCCCTAGTTTTCAATATAAACTAGTATAACATAGTATTCATATTGTATTTAATATCTTTGTTTTGTACGACAATATTTGTGGTTTTGAAACATCAACAATGCCAAGGAAGAGTAAGAGGTCACAAGCTCAGAGCCTGCACTGGCAGCGGCCCAATGAGAATCCCTGTGCAACAACTACTAAAGGAGCAGAATGTGTTGGTCCTGAGAGCAGTGAAGAGGTAAAGATGTCTGCAGAGTGTAAACGTGTGGAGCAGGAAGGTCAACCTGATGCTTCATGTGCACCACTACCATCTTATGCAGATGTTGTAAAGAGAGGACAGCACAGTGATGATCCATGTATAGCAGGACCTTCTAATGTGAAGCAGGTAAACCTAAGAGGTCAAGGTGATGAGTCATGTGTACCACAGGTATCTAATGCAGAAACTATAGAGCAAGGACAACCCATAAAAGAACCATGTGCAGCGGGACCTTCTAATGCAGACCCTGGAGATCAGACTTCTGAACAACATGTCCGTGCATCCCACAGCCAGGCTTCTATCAGATTCGGCAGATCCAGAAATCGGCAGTGCACCTGTAACTCACTGACCTTTCTTGCATTCCTCCATGAGAATGAAAGCATCACCAGAGCAGACCTGGACCATGTTTTGGATAAAGGTAACACGATGTATAGAGAAACCAGGAAACAAGTCACTAATCACATCTATCTGACCACCGACGAGCTCACTGATGAAGTTCCTGCACGCAGCGCTACACACTATGCAGACATGACTCAGCTTTCAAGGTACGGCACATTAGGAGAACCTTTACTTGGAGCTGTGGACAGCTTTCTGGACCTGGAGTCAGGACTCAGCTGCTTGTTGTCAGATGTGAAGTACGCTCTGCTGTTGATGAGACTCTTGTGTATCGCAGTGTTCAGAACCAAGTCGGGCAGATACGGTTTCTTTGACCCACACTCCAGAACAGCCAGAGGTTTGCCCCTACCAGCCGGTTCACGCACACCAGGTACTGCTGTCATGGTGACATTCTCACGTCTCAGTGACATGATTGACAGACTCAAGAAGTCCCACAGAATGATGGACACACAGTCCTCCTGTAACTATGAGTTGAAGCCTGTGGAGTTCTACAACATGAACACAGTCAACCTGAGCGATGGTCTCCTAAACACAGACTGCAGACCTACAGCTGTCCCTGTGGAGGAATCAAACTCACCTACAGCCACTGATCAGACCAGTTCACCTGAAACGACTCCTCACACTCCAGCTGTAAAACAACCAGAGGTCTTCATCACAACATCGTCACATGATGCTCCTCACAATGAATCAGAATCAACAGCTCAAGTCATAAACCCTGTTCTCAGTGATCCATCTGACGACATATTGACAGCAGAGTCCAGTGACATCATCTTTACATCATCGGTGAGACAACAAGAGGTCATAAACTCCAATGAACCAGAACTGTCAAGTAAATCCACTTTCCTCCCATCACATGATGCTTCTCTCAATGAACCAAATATTTCTTCTTCAGTAGAAAATACTGTTGCCAGTAATCTACCTGATGTTCTGTTACAGGGAATCTCATGCAAACTGACAAAGTGTAGTAAAAATGAAAGGAGAAAAATTAAGAGAAGACTGATGATCTCAGTGAAAACTCAACAAAGAAAAGAGATTCAGAAAAGGAAGGAAAGGCAAAAAATATGCTTCAAATAAAGCATATAAAGCAGACAAGATATCTCATGCAAAAAGGCAATATCAGAACAACCCTGAATTTAGACAATATAAAATAAATAATACAAGAGACAGTGTTGACTTTCAACAAAAACGGAAAGAGTACATTTCCTCCCGGTACAGAAAAGATGCTGATTTTAGAGAGAAAAAAAAAAGATCTTTGTCTCTCGTTACAGAAATAATCCTGAATTTAGAGAGAAACAAAAACAGCACTTTGTGGGCCGCTACCAAGACAATGCTGAGTTTAGAAAGGAAAAAAAAACTGTACTTCACTGCCTTTTACAAAAACAGCATTGATTTTAGACAAAGGAAGAGATCTCACATTATTCAGCGTTACGCTCATGACCAGGCATTCAGGCTCAGACATAAACAACTAATGAAACAACGAATGAAAGACAGATACAAAAACAATCCTACATATAAGAGTATGCGGAACATGAGATGTGCCATGAAAATAAAAAGGAAATACAGAGGGATAAATAAACCAACAGAAGAAAGTGACAACAGTTTGATCGAAGAGGCCATATCTGTTTTCAGGTCACAAATAAAGTCCGGTCCCACTTATGTTTGCACCGTCTGTCACAAAGCAGCATTTCCAAACCAAGTGAAACCCTGTAAACGGTTAAACTATGTACAAAATCCAGACATGGTTGCAGCATGCCTGACAGGAAAGTACGTCCATGTGTGTGATGACGAGTGCACAGATGAACAGCAGTGTAATGTCACTCACTATCAGAGATGAGGCTGAGCTTTGTGACCCAACACTTCCTGATGAAGATGAGGATGATGATGATGAGGATGCCACTATGGATGACAACGACTATGATGATGCTGATTTAAAGGAAATTGACATGTGTGAGAAAAGTGCACTGTGTGAGACAGAAACTGAGCTTGATGGAGAGCAGGATGTTGACATGTTGTCTTGTGATGGTGAACAACCAGAGCAGCAGAGAGATGATGAAGAACAGGAAGGTGACATGCCTAACGGTGGTTTTGCCCTAGAATCATGTCTTCAGCCCTGTGATGTTTCAGAGGAGATCTTATGTTTCAGTGAAGGAATCTACTCTGTTGCCCCTGCAGAAAGTAACAGTCCAGTTGGTTTCTTCAAAACTCCTAAACTTGAGGCGATGGCTTTCCCTGTGCAGTTCCCTACAGGCCAAAACACACTGGATGAAGGGAGACGTATTAAAGTAACACCCAGCAGTTATTTCAAAGCGAGGCTCTTCTGTGTTGATGATCGTTTTGCCAGAGATACAAACTACTTGTTCTTTGCTCAGTTTGTGACTGAAATACACTAGGCCACATCCAGCATGACGATACAGTTGAGGAAAGGAAAGCCACTGACTCGAGATGGACGAAAAATAACGTCTGGTATGCTGCAAAACAAACCAGAGGTAGAGAAACTGGTGAGGAACAAAGATGCAGTCAGATTCATGCAGCCGCTGAGAGGAACACCAGCCTACTGGGAGAAAACCACACGAGACCTTTTTGCCATGATCAGACAGTTGGGAACTCCCACATTCTTTTGTACATTTTCTGCAGCTGAGATGCGTTGGCCTGAAGTGATTGAGGCAATAAAAAGACAGCAAGGTGAGGAGGTGAACTTTGAAGGGCTCGACTGGTCAGCAAAGTGTGACATTCTGAGAAGCAATCCTGTGACAACCATGCGCATGTTTGATAAGCGTGTTGAGGCCTTATTCAGAGATGTGCTCTTATCTCCTGCACAGCCTCTTGGCAAAGTCGTTGACTACTTTTACCGAGTTGAGTTTCAGCACAGAGGAAGTCCACACATTCACTGTCTCATATGGGTAGAAGGTGCACCTGTGTTTGAGGAGGATGATGATCACACTGTGTCAGCTTTTGTTTCCAAATACATCACAGCTCAGCTACCTGACCAACTCACACAACCTGAACTGTACAAGAAGGTCACAGAGGTGCAAATACACAGCAAAAAACACTCACGGACATGTTTCAGAAGCCCCAGCTCGGGTTGCAGATTTGGATTTCCTAAACCACCTTCTAGAAAGACAATGATATCGAGACCTGGTGAGGGCGTTGCTCCACTGCACCTGCAAATAGCAAAGTCCAAGCTCCAACCACTGAACTTGTTGCTGAATGAACCTGAAACTGCCTCACTCAGTTTGCAGCAGCTCCTCAGTAAATGCAATTTAACACTCCAAGAGTATGAAGGATGCCTCAATGTCATCAACAAATCCAGTGCGGTGATCCTGAAACGTGAGCCAAAAGACTGCTGGGTAAATGGATATAATGCACATCTACTGGAAGCCTGGGATGCCAATATTGATGTCAGTTATATTCTCAATGCATATTCGTGCATCATGTATCTCACCAGCTACATCACCAAAAAGGAATCTGGACTTTCTGAGTACCTTAAAACAGTCATTGAAAACTCCACCAGAGACCACGTCAATGAATATGATGAAATGAGGGAAATCATGCAGGCGTACTCTAAAAAGAGAGAGGTCAGTGCTCAGGAGTGTGTGACTCGTGCATGTGGAATAAATATGAAGAAGTGTTCACGTGGTGTCATATTCGCACCGACAGATGACAACGCACTGAAAATAAGTCGCCCCATGTCTTACCTGGAGAACACAACATTAGAAAGTGTAAATGTGTGGATGACATCTTTGACTGACAAATACAAATCCAGACCAGAAACACCAGAGCAGATGTGTTTGGCGGATTTTGCAGCTACTTGCAGAATTGTCTATGGCTAGCAGAAAAAAGGAAAAGATGTGTTGCCTCTCCTCAATGATATGGGATTTGTGCAAAAGCGTAAAAACGATAAGCCTGCCATCATCAGATCACAGCTCACAGGAAAAATATCCAGAGAAGTTCTATGGCACATTACTGAAACTGTACATTCCTCACCGATCAGACCTGGAACTGATAAGACGGCATTTCCCCACGTACGAGTCCTTCTACAAGAGTTGTTGTGTCCAACTACCAGGTTCTGACCATCCTGAGTATGTCCATTTCATTGTGAAACGAAACAAAGACAAATATGAGAAAAACAGCAAAGACATTGAGAATGCAGTGGAAGAATTTGAACAGAACAGAGGAGTGATTGATGAATGGTGCAATCTGGCTCCAGAATCTGAAGTGGAAAGGTTGGAATGTATCATGAAAGATGAAAGCCAGATC